GAAGAGGACGTTGATTACAAATATATATAAATATATATATATATAAATTATATATATATATAAAAATTATATATATATATATATATATATTTTTTTTTCCTGTTGAAGTACACACCACTCTCACTTCTGTCCCCTCACATTCCAGTTGTCCACCCCCACTTATGCAGAGGCTCATGCAGGACCGATTAAAGGATGATGTGGGATGGAAAGGAGAATTCCAGATTCTAGGCAGAGTGCCTTTCAAGCCTTCTCTTGCCCCGGAACCTGGAGCGTCGGAAACCATGCCTGCCTCGGGGTATCCGGGCCACCAGAACCGGGTCAGCATCCCGGCGCCCAGGCGTAGGGGAACCTGATTGGTTTGGGAATGAACCAATCAGCGAGCGAAGCTATGCACGGGTAGGGGAGGGCCAAGATTATAAAGCGGATGAGGTTAAAGGAAAAGAGGCAGGTATGATAGGCACCCGGGTTTAGAAGGCACTTTTTGCACCCACAGTGTCATTATAAACTTGAGAGTTCTGATCTAAATACTGTCTCCCACTTCCAATTTCGTAAAGCTTAAATAGTAGATGGGGCGGGGCATTACTTATCCTACCATTCATAAGATGGGCTATTAATAGTCAATGGAGAAGTGGTCATCGAGTAAAGGAAGGGCAATAAAATCTTCACTCCCTCCTTTCTCCCTTCCACTCCAGGCTGTCAACCTAACTCAATCAGTTTTTTAAAAGAGCAAATCACTGAAACGCTCACTTAATCGCCAAAGCTGATTACCAAAACGTTGTATTAGACATCTGGAATAAGTTTCCATCCTCTCCAAGGACGGGGGGAAATAGTATTGGCATCTGCCGAACGCCAGCGTTTACTACCTGCTCAAGCAGAATCAAACGAACTGAGGTGGACCTGGGAGAAACTGAGATCTTCCGAAATGTACAATCACGCACACGAACACAGCCACCTCCTGAATTCAGACACCCGCCCCCAGGCGCGGCGACAGATCTTTCAAGCCTCTACCCCCACAAACTCTCCACATGGAGGAACAAGATTTTTTTTTTTTTTTTTTTTTTTTGGAAGGTGGGCGCACAGATACCAGATTCTCCTACTACGTTTTAACTTCAGCAGAGCTGTTCTGGCCACTTTCCCCCCCCCAAGTGTCACAGCCCCCGGATTCACGGACCTGGTCAACCTCAGCTTTCCCACGGTCCAGCAACTGCTACCCTCTGCTTCACCACCCATAACTCGGGTTGGAGAGAGATGCCGTGTCCTAGGGGGTGAGGGAAGGGGGAGGGGGAGAAGAGGGAAATGACCAGTTAAGTAAAGCAGTCCCCGCCGAGGCCTGGATTGCGGCAGCCAGTGGGGAGCCCTGGATCCCAGAAGCAGGGAAAGGCTGGAACCGTGCGGGGAAGGGCCGCGAGGAGAGCAGGGGCGCCGCCGGTGTCGCTACACTCACTCTGCGTAGCCAGTGGCCCAGGGCAGCCGCCGGGTCTCCTTGAGGATGAGGATGGGGCGGGCGATGTGGTCAGCGCTGCACTCCACTTCGTCCTGAGACAGCCCGAGGAACTCCGGCCGCCCGTAGGGGAAGCGCAGGGGCAGGTCCGAGCCTCCGCAGCCGCCGCCGCCGTGCTCAGAGCCTGAGCTGCCAGCCATGATGCCGCCCATGAAATTGGCTACGGCAGATTTCACTCGAGTTAGCATATTACTCCGGCGCCCGGCAGCAGCGGTGCGAGCTGGAGGCTGCAGCGGCGGCCGGGCGAGGCTCAGCGCGGGTCATGCAGGCTGCGGCGGGCGCGGGGCGCACGGGAAGCCGGGCCGCTGGGGCGCGCCGCACGGGGTTCCTGGAGCTTAGTGCTGCAGGGGGCCGAGCCCCGGCCTCCTGTACTCGGTGCCGCCGCCGCCTCCTCCCCCAGCTACACTTCCGCAACGGAGCGACATGGAGCGGGCGGGCCGGTCAGGAGAGACACCGAGCGCTCCGGGAGCGGCTGGCTGGCCGCCGCTGCAGCAGGTCCCTTCCCCGCCCCCTGCGCTCAGCTCCTGCGTGCGCGGAACTGAGCCCACCCGGAGAGCCAGCGGAGCCGCGGCGGCTGCTGCCACGGCTACCGCCGCCTTGTCATGTGATAATCAGGCTGCAAGGGCTCAGTCTGCGGCTGTGGCCGTGGCTCAGCCCCTCCCCTGCCGGTCCGAGAGAGGCTTGCACCAGGACCTTGACCTCCTAAGGGAGAGGGAGACCAGCCGGGTCGGTGCCTGGCGGAGGGGTTGGGGGCGCTGTGAGCCGGCGGCAGTACAGGTGTTAGGGGTTGTCACGTGGCTCGCGGCATTGGGGCGAAGCCAGTTGAGGAATCCACTCTGGGAGCAAGACTGCCTTTGCCCTCGGAAAGGAAAACTTCGGGATCTGGAGAGGAAAAAGGAGACAGGTACAATCATGACCGGGACCGCTCCAAGTCCTGCGATGGAAATAAGAACCACATGGTCGAAGAGACTTAACCCCACGCCGATTGCACAGAAATCATTAAAAGTGTCCCTCACCCACCCCCACGCTTTGTAGAATTACTTTTGTTTTTCTTTCATTACCATCTCAAGCATCATTATCTGAGGAGCAAACCTGTTTCGAACCTAGAATAAGCTCAACAGTGAAGAAAACAAAAGATCTCTAAGAAATCAGAAACAAGCACTGTTTTAACCCGTACTCAGTTGCTTAACAAATTTGTACAAGTATTTTTCCCCAACGTAGCAACAGAAGTATCTTTTCAAAGCTGATTCTGTTTTCTATGGAGCTACTTACAGTAGCTGTATTTTATTTTCTTTTTATTTAAAACATTCCAACAGAATTATCAAAGAGCACGTGTAAAGCTAAAGAAACAATGCAGCAACTCAAAATGCTAAAGTTAAAAATGATTAGGTTCTTGCAATGATAAAATATTTTTGGTAATTTTATATTAAAACTAAACAGAAAAATGAGGGTGAAATAGTGAATGTGCTTCATCAAGGGTAACATTTGTTAAATATTGGCCTTAATTTTTGTTGTTGTTGTTGGAATTTTTGCATTATTAATACTAGTATCCTGTTCATGTTTACTTATTCCATATCCTGTTCCTATGTTTACCTACCGTTTAATTTGCCAGGACTCTGTGTTACTTGTGCAGTTATGCACCGAACAGCTCCCTTGGAGTTGGGGAGGGAATACAGGCCCTCATTCTTCTCAGTGAGTAGCCCAAGTGTTAGAGAAGAGGCCAATTCTCAGAAGAGGAATCGGAATTCTTACTGTTATGGGAAGCCCGGGCAAACTGCACTGATCTCCTCCTCTTTCTCCCCCTTCATTTGTGTTTTCTTTTTTGACTTTTTCATGAGTAGGTATTCCAGTTCAACTATATACTGAATAATTATGAAAAAGATGGCAGTATTTCAAATGGTCAGTGAAATGCCACTACTGTGTTCTTGTAATGCCCTCACAAAGCAGAAATGTAACTTTATCTTGATTCCCTTCTCCCTCTATTAAAATGGGGGCAGAATTTTAAATGGTGCAGTCTTATTGATGGCATAAGATCATTTAATAAACAAAGCTATAGTATTATGAGTCAAGCAATGAGATTATTTTGATATGAAAAGCATCTAAGGTCTATATGTAAGTATTTCCAAAATTAATATTCTATAAAGTATTCAAACTCACAAGTTGAATGAGGGATGGGAGGGGGTGTAACAGGACAGACTGGGCCATATATGCAGTGTATAGCACTTCAAGGTTCTCTCAGTTCCTGATCACTGCATCATTTGAATCCAGTAACACAAATCCTTCCAGAAATTATACCTGTAATAGGTGTGAAAGTCACTTATTCTCAGGGGTCCCTCTAAGAAGGATGGCTACCACTCATTGAAATCAGAAACTGTATTTCCATCTCTTATTATAGAAATAGTCTAAAGAAAGTTAGTATTTCTGTTTGCAGGACAAAGTTTGCTGTGCAAAGCTAAATGACAAATTAACACTTTTCTGTGATAGGTAAAAATTAGGTTATGGAAAAGCAGAAAGACAACTTCTTGGAAAACATTGGTTCACAAATCTTGCTAATATTATCAAATTTAATTATGCCAAATGATTAAATAATTAATAATTAGTGCTGTTTGAGGGGGGAAATGGAAGCCTGTGGAAATTGTTAGTCTTACTTTTGTCTTTATGGCTCTGTATCATTGGATTTTATCTATTTATAATATACCATTATCAGGTACTACTTTTAAATTGAAAATCACAGATCAGAATTTTTTAAAAAAATCCTACTTAATGTCAATTCTAAAACTTTTCTATTAAGTGAAATGAAAGGAAGACCATATTAAATTCAACTCAATAAAATTTACTTACCAAAATATACAAAACACAATGTTAAAAGGCAATTGTTCACCCGGCATGGTGGCTCACACCTAGAATCCCAGCAGTTTAGGAGGCTGAGGCAGGAGGATCACAAATTCAAAGCCAGTCTCAGCAACTTAGTGAGGTCCTGAGCAACTTGATGAGAGCCTGTCTCAAAATAAAATATAAAAAAGGCTGGGGATAACGTTGTTCCATAGTTTAGCTATTGTGAAATGAGCTGCTGTAAACAATGATGTGGCTGTCTCCCTGTAGTATGCTGTTTTTAAGTCCTTTGGGTGTAAAGAGAGGAATAGGATAGCTGGGTCAAATGGTGGTTACATTCCAAGTTTTCTGAGGAATCTCCATAATGGATAAAGAAAATGTGAGATATATATACACAATGGAATATTACTCAGCTTTAAAGAAGAATTAAATGATGGCATTTGCAGGTAAATGGATAGAGCTGGGGAATATCATGCTAAGCAAAATAAGCCAAACCCACAAAACCAAATGCTGAATGTTTTCTTTGATAAGCGGATGCTGATCTGTAATGGGGGTTGGGGTGGCGCTTGGGAAGAACAGAAGAATTTTGGATTGGGCAAGGGGAATGAGGGGAGGGAAGGGGATGTAGGGTGGAAAAGATGGTGGAATGAGACGAACATTATTATCCTATATGCATGTATGATTGCACTACCGATGTGACTCTGATCATGTACAGCCAGAGGAATGAGAAGTTGTGCTCCATTTGTGTACGATGTGTCAAAATGCATTCTACTGTCATGTATAACTAATTAGAACAAATTAAAAAAAGATATTACACACAGTAAAAAAAAATAAGGTGGGGGAAGGGCTGGGTGGTTAGTGTTCGAACACACCTGTATATAATTGGAGATTTCTCATTCAGAAGTTTACAGTTTAACCAAGCAAAAGTTAAGGTGACACGTATTAACTAACATCCTCTATCCCTGACACGATGAACTCAAAGAGTCATAATCTCAATATATTCATTAAAAAATTAGTCAAATCTCACCTGAGGATGTTCTAAAAAAATATCTGACCCATTGTGTTTAAAAGTGTCAAGATTCTAAAAGGCAGGGAAAGACTGGAACTGTCACAGATTGGGGACCAAGGAAACAAGAACTGAAATGTGGTGCCAATATTAATTTCTTAGTTTGGATGTTATCATTGGGGGGAAGATTGGTGAAAAGAATAAAAGGAAGAAAAATTAAACACATACACATCGGAGGCATTTTATTTGTTTCAGGAAGAAAGGGAAAGCTCACATGAAAATCAGTCCAGGGGAAATATGACAGATGCCTTTCCAGAAATCATCCCTTCCAAAGCTCTAGATTCATGCTTCTTTTATGGTGTTAGCCTTCCAGTGTTGTAATTAGAGTTTACATGTCTTCCCAGTAGAAATCCTACAAGGTAAGAATATTCTTAACCATGTTTATATTTCTAGCACCTATCATAACCCTAAAAGTAGTAGAGTTCAGATGATAAATTAATTATTAAAAAAAATCCCAATAACTAGGTGTGCTAGTGCATGCCTGTAGTCCCAGCTACTCAGGAGGCTGAGGCAGGCATTACTTCTTGAGCCCAGCAGTTCTGGGCATCATAGCCAAACCCTGGGAAGGGGGGCAGGATCTCATTCAGGGAAGGGAAAAGCTAAAATCTCTTTAACTTGATCAAATCTGTTATTTTGATACACCACTCCTTTCTTTAATGGAGTTGGGTTTTGAATCCAAGGGCCATATGTGTGCTAGACAAAAGCTCTGTCATGAAGCTCTAACCCCAGCATGCCCTCGATTTTTCTTAGGACCTTGCTAGTTTTATCCCTTAAGACCTGTTCTATCTATAAGCAGAACTTTCACCACCTGAGGTCTGATAAAAGGCTTCATCAATTTCAGTTAATATTCAGATCGGTAATAATAAGGATACTAAATCTCCTTTATATGAATCTAGTAACCTGATATAGATCATAAACCAGGGTAATATTAACTTGTTTTTGCTTCAGAAATAGTTTGAATTCTGGTTTAGTATGAAGTAATGTATTATCTGGAAATCCCTGTTTTATTGAAAGGGATTGGCTACTTATTTCTCCAAAGAAAACAATACTGTTTATTTATAAGTGTCAGTTTTCTTATAAAACAAGAGTTTTATGTATATCAAATATTTAGTAAGGTTATAAAGTGTCAGCAAAATTCACACTCATAAATGCAAACATTCCTTAGATTATAAACACCTGGTTTAGGAATAGTTGGTCCCTTCAATCAATAGATTACACCTGACTTTCCCATGACTTCCCATTGCCCACCTTCTATGGGCTATCCTATTCTACATTGTCCGAGACAGGAATCACTGCTTTGTAACTTATGTGGGAATGTATGAATCAGAATCTCTTTCACATAATTCCTTGTACTATACTATCTACTTTAGACTCTGAAATGGGCTTATTCTCAGACTATGAAACCAAAAATATTTTTATAGGTTGGCTGTATGGATATGTGAGTTGGTAGTTATAAGTGTTATAACTGATGTTGGCCTGCAGTTAATACCCTTCTCTAGTTAAATCTGTTTTCTTTTGTAGGGACTAATTTTTAATATTAAAATATTAAACATTTCCTTTTTATATTCTTCACTTTTAATAATGAAAAGAACAATACTTACATTGTAGAATTATTTTGATAATAAGTTAGAACAGCATGTACATTCCTAGTACTCTAGGTACAGAAGGGGTGATTAAATAGATAAGCATCAGGACAACACCCTGCATTATGGGGGAGGGTGAG